CATATGTACCAAAGCCACCTGTTGTTGTTACTCCACCACCATATGTGCCAAAGCCACCACCAACTCCCCAACCAACCCCTTGCCCACCACCCCCACCGACTCCCGTGCCATGTCCACCGCCACCAAAGAAACCGGAGATTTGCCCAATTGATACCCTCAAACTAGGTGCTTGTGTGGACTTGTTGGGCGGCCTTGTGCACATTGGAATTGGAAGCAATGTTAAGAGCACTTGTTGTCCGGTTTTAGAAGGCTTGGTGGACTTAGATGCAGCTGTATGCCTTTGCACTACTATCAAGGCCAAGCTTCTAAACATAAATATCCTTATTCCCATTGCCCTTGAAGTGCTTGTGGATTGTGGAAAAACTGCACCACCAGGATTTCAGTGCTCTGCTGACTAAGTATGAACTCTTCCGCTTGAGAAGTGGAACATTTATCCTCCATTTTATCAACAATGTCACAATTGGCACTTTTGTTGGTTTAAATATTCATTTTTTCAAATCCTCAAAATTTTCACACGTTTTTTTTTAAAAAATTTTGTTGGAAAAGGACCATTGACGACTCAAACGCATAACTTACTAGTTACAGTTTTCAAACCTTTTTATCTTAGAAGTACTCTTAAATTTTTTGACAAATTTCAAGTGTGTTGTGATAAAGTTTTGATCTAATCATACCACTGTTTAAGTTTTTGCTCCGCCATAAATTTTAACAAAATTAAAATGGAAAATCTAAAGTGTGGAAAGAAACAAGGTTTGTTGGACTAATGGAGTATATACTTGTCTATGGATGGTTTTATGTAAACTGTAAAGCAACGTCAACGGGTATTCGATTTTGAATGCAGGAGATTCAAGGACTGAGCTTTTGGTTGAACACGAGCTTGAATAAATGGAAACAGCCGTAAAGTTCTCTTCAATGCGTTATTCATCTGTTTGCGTTGCATGTTATTGTGGTCTGCAGCTGGAAAGTGCATGAGAATCCGGAAGAAAATCAGGTTGCCAACTGCAGGAACAAATTCTCAACCAATAAGAAGCAATTTGTATATTTTTCAGAATTTCGAAATGTGCCTTTTTTGTCTTTTATGTTTGGATGATCTTTTCTGTTTGTCTTGTTTTTGTATGGAGTTAGTAAATGTGCTGACACAGTACTTTTGCTGGGAGTTGTTGCTATTTGCCAAGGTCAGTGATCTTTTGTATGCATCATTGCTGCTTGTCTACCTTTACATGCTACATGTAGAAGTACAAAAAATTACATCCAGTACGATGCTGTATATGATTAAAAGAAGAAATTATTCTCTATCGACAAAGTAATAAGAGATAATATCGGAAACCTCCGTTGAGTTTTCTCCTAATATAACTTAGCACAACTTAAGTTTTGAAAACATCACTTACCTCCTCTCTAATAATTACAAAAAGACTATATTAATCCGTACTTGATACATAATTCCCATATCAAATACATGGACCTTAAAAAATTGAAAAAAAAATAAAAGTGACTTTCTTCTCTTTTCCTTATATCCAATATCATCTCTTACTCATTTTTTGGATGAATATCTGATTTTTTATTTATAAATAATAGTAAATTGAATTTTTTTTTTATATTTTGCCATTTGTGATTTTGATAGAATGGGATATAATTTCTTTGTTTATTTTGAGTTGTTTTGTATAATGATTAGTACAACTTAAGACCTTAGGCCATGAGTTGAGAAGAAGTTTGGAAAAATTATAAGTTTCATAACATATCAGTTTTGAGCATATAGAATTAAATTGGTGCTAATGTATTTCTTTACATATATCTTTTTTATTTTTCAAATTTATATTTTTGGGGACTATATTTTTGTGATGTAGTGGTACTACTAGAGATTGTTTTGTAGGTAGTATTTTTCTTGGAATAAACAAAGCAGCTTATAAGCATTTTTATTTGGCAAAATGAGCAATGGATAGTTTAAGGTTTTTGAAAATTTTGTTACACAAATAACAAAAGTAAGGGAGACGAGTGATATTTTTAAAACCGTAAGGGTACAAAGTGATATTAAAAGAAATTTTATAGCAGGTTTTTGATATTATTCCAAGTAATAACACAAGGAGCCATAAATATCATTCAATGGTTAGTTCAAAGAGAAGAAAAAAACCATAATAATTTTTAGGGAAAAAAAAGGTCAGAAATCAATAAAAAAAAATGGCTTGGACACCATTAAAGTAAAATCTAGGTTTAGGATAAAAAGGTGAATCAAAATGGAAAGGAAACAAGGCACTAGTTAAATTATTTGATAGATAGGGCCCAATAAGATTTTAAGGCATGTATTTGGTTGGATTGCGCCCCATAAGCTTTTAAGGGAATAATTTTGTCGGACAGGGCCCTTTTGCTTTAGTTGGATTTAACTTTCAAGAACGTCTCTTTCTTGTGACATACAAATGATCTGATCTGAAATGGGCCATATTTATGACCCATCAATTTTAAGGAAAATGTCCCTATGTTTGTTTGTGTTGTGTGACTTGTGTCTAGTGTTTTTTTGTACCTTTCAGAAGCTTACAATTACTTTTGGGAAAATAAAGCTTGGGTCTACTATCGACTCAGTTAGTTATCCATTGGAATTTAAACAAAAACTCTCCTGATAAACTAAATTTAATACTTTAAGAAAAGCTTTCCACTATTCTTTTGCATCAGAACACCTCAATTAAAATGCATAATAAGTTATAAAGGTTTCTTCTAGTTTAACTTTTTAAGTCTGGTTTTTTAAGCGTTTTTTCCCTTTTTATTGGGACGGGGTGGGGATATTAGCCCAAAATCTTTTTCTAAAATGGAGGGGGTGTGTACATTATTTTTCAAAAAAATTATATGAAACTTAATGAGCTCGAAGGTTTAGACATTACTTTTTGAGCTTATTCATAACTGTTGGAGTAGGTGGTACACAAACACAAAAAGTGCAAAATTTTGCATTACACAAATTTCACTAAAAATGTGGATACAAAGACTATGATCTTGAGGGTTGATTGACATTATCCTTAAGATATTAGTTGCCTTCACTAAACAAAGTATTTGCTATAGGGTTGTAATAAATTACCTTTAAAATACAACAAGATTTAGAGAAATTTAATAGCAAATGTCAGGTTTTCTCACAAAGAATGATCAAAGTGATTTCTAGTTAGTTTTATATTAAGAGACTTATTTATTTATAGGAAAATGGTGTTTTTCACTAATTCCTAACATTCAAAAACAATATTGGCTCCGTTTGGATTAACTGTTTTTTAGAGTGTTTTTAAAATATTTTACTATAATAATGTATGTGAAAAACTTTTACTGTACCTATTTTTAATAGTGTTTTTGAGAATATTTTTGAAAATATATTTTGGGTATTTTTAAGATTTAAAATTTTAATGAGATATTTTTAAAATTGCATAAAACCTTACCACCACCCACCACCACCCCTTCCCCCCTCCCTACTCCCCTCCCCTATTTTTGGTGGTGTTTTTGGAGGTATTTTTGGGGATATTTGGGATGTATTTTGGGGGTATTTTTATAATTTAAAATATGTTTAGGTACTTTTTGAAAAATTTACACCACCCATCTCCACCACCTCCTCCCTCCTCTCTCTCCCCCTCCTCCCTTCTCCCTCTCTTTCTCCTTCCTCACTTCCCTCCTCCATTCTCCCCCTCTTCCTCCCTCCTCTCTTTCTCCTTCCTCCCTACCCCTCTTCCCCTACTCCCTAGACCCACCTGAAGATTGCCGGCCTAACCTTCTTGGTCGCGATTAGTGCAACCAAAAGGTCGCAGCTGGAGCTGCTGCTGGTTCTTGGGGGAGGAGAGGAGAGGGAGGAAGAAGGAGAGGAGAAGGAGAAGGAGGAGGAGGGAGGAGGGGAGAAAGAGGCAGGAGGAGGAGCAATGGTGGAGGTAATAGTGATGGTCGAGGAGGGAGTGGTAGATGGTGTTGGTGGGTGGTGGTGATTGGAGGAAGAAGAAAAGGTGATAGGATTTATTTTTATTTATTTATTTTTTTAAGTTGTATTTGAAATATAAGGAGAGTTTTTTGATGGTGTTTCGAGGAGGGAGAGTTTTTTGATGGTGTTTTTTGAGTGTATTACTGTAGATTTGTAGATGAAAAACAAGTATTTCAAAAACTCTCAAATCCAAACGGAGCTATTATGTCTTCAAACACAATTTTTGGCAAAAAAATAACCAAGTAAAACGATGCCAAAATATTTTAACCGTTGTACAGAATCCGACTTCGGATTCATGCCTGCACAGAACTGGTTTAAGGGCTGGATCTAGTTTATAAAGCTGGCCAATGCAGATCCGGCGCCGGATAGTTCTTGATCCAGGCCGGATCTAAGACCATTCACAAAATGCAAATTGTGGACCTCTGTCCAGAATCTGACTGCTGAATCCGGCTTGATCCAAGTAAGAATCCGCCCCGAATTCCAGTCTCAATTTTGCATCGTTATTCAAAGTCTCACTTTTGTTTCATTTACAAACAACACCTACAATAACAGGAGATGGGTTTGAGTTTACAATATATTAACGCTTCAAACAAGATTATTTGAGTAGGTTTTCCTCAATAATGTCGTCATTTTCATTCTATTTTCAGCAAAAGAAGAAGAAACCAATTATAATAATATCCTATAGTGACTACTTGTTGAATTTATTCCAAATACCTTAACGGAAAAAAAAAATCTAAATATATTAATTCAACGTAAAATGGTCTTTCCTATCTAAATATATTCAACATAAAATGGTCTCTTCATTTGGAATGTGTGGTAATTCAACATCTTTAAACCCTATACAAAATGCAAAGTGTGCAATGCAGGGTATTACATGTTGAAATATCATATATTACATAGAATGCATGGTAAAATGGTGCTTCATGTACAAAGATTGGACTCCAGATTTTTAATTGCACATTGGAAGTTTGAATTTTAGTAGAAAAGGACCATGCCTTTAAATCCATAATCCAAGATCAAAGATAAGAAAATTAACAGCCAAATTTGGAAAATGTTGCTAATCTGTTGGTCAATTGCGTAACATCAAATTTTCCTTTTAAATGTTTGTGCAAAGTTTGGAAAGATTCCCTACTCTCTCCTTGTCTAACTTACGAAAGAGAAGATTATCTTTGTTCTTTCAGTTACAGTGTTCAAACTTCAATTAAATGATGGAAAAAAAAAAGAGAAAACTAAAAAGAAAGCCGCCTTTTACATGCCTCAAGCGGCAGTTCATGCATTTTGCAGAAGCCTAAATCATAAAGAACCTCTTCAATCAAGTCTTTGCAAATATAGTTTTGTAACACCATTCCTATATTTCCCAGCTCTCTCTTTTCTCCCCAGCTGATGTGATTGCATACTTCATCTACACTTTGGATCATAGCTTTGCTGCTCCAAAACCTGGGGGTTGTAATTCTATGCTTTTCTTTAACTGTTGCTGTGTTCACTTTGGTAAAGTAGCAGATGTTATCTTCTTCCCTTGGCTTCTTCACTGAAATTCTTTTACTCTGATGCGCTATAATTCCTACATATGTACTTTTGTTAGTGAGTGCAATCAAAATCAGTAATCAAATGAAAACATATGTAACTTAATATCTTTTGTTGCTATTTAACCTAGTTACACACAATAAACTAACCATACCGGTGTTAAGGTCTATTTCCTGTTTTTATTGCAACTTGCACATATAATTGCCACAGAATTGATGTTTAACAGACCAAAGAAAAAAATAAAGTGAAATGTGGTACGTATATAAATTCAAGAACAAATGAAACATAGTTCAGAGTTGTACACACTGCATGAAGCAACCTCAAATGGTGAAAGCAAAATTCAGTACCATCCAATTGATTCAACAATTGGGCTAAATAGAGAGGCATGGATTTCTCAAGGGTAATAAGCAACTATTCCTCTGTGTGGCTGTCAATTATGTCTACATATAAGGAAAAAAAGAAACCAAAGCAAAAAAAAAAAAAAAAAAAAAAAAAAAACTCCTTAACACTATGTAAACACATCTAGAGAGAAATAGCAAAACAAAAACAAATTTGGTGGCAAATAATTGTTATTATCAAATGTCCAACCAGAGGAATGTGCTTTCCTATTTTTTTTTTTTAAATCAACTTTACCAACAGTAATATGCAAATATGCACAAATTTCAAACATGATTGGAAACAACAATCATTGATGACGTTAAATCCCTGAGATTATTATTTTCACAGTGCTCCGTTTGTTTTGAAAATAGAAATTGACTAGATGGCATTATATACCTTAGCAGACGTGCACAAAACATTTTCATAGATGAGGAATGGGCTAATCCCATCTTCCTGCGCAAGAAGCACTTGCGTGAAGCTGTTTGGACCTTTGTCCAAGCTCAGTTGAGACTTTGCTTACACAATTGTACAGTTTATACAAATTAATATATCTACTGTTTCAAAAAAAAGCTAGGGCAGGTTTTAGAGGCTGAATTTGGCTAAAAAAAGTTAAAATAAACAACAACAAATACAAATACGCTTTCAAAGCTTGTAGCTTATTGAAATTGGAATTTGTTGATGAGAAAAAACAAATTCAACAAATTCTGAGTAATTGTTTGAGAAAAAGGCTAATTTCATCCCTCAACTTTTGTTTCTACTGATGTCGATTTAGCTCTTAACTTTTATTTCTGACAAATTTGATACTTGAACTTAATTTGCAGTTTCAATTAAGGACCTCTGCAGTTGCACCAATACCTAAAACTGATCTACTTTCTAATTGAATAATTAAACAATGGCATTATGAGAACGTCACTTATGAAATTGTAATAAAACAAGTAAATGCGTGAAATGTGTAAAACATATGAGTGGAGAGAGGAAGAAGCACAACATGCTTGTCAAAGCTTTATTCATATGTTTGTCTTACGGTTTCGAGAAGGCTTTACTCATCTCTATGTTAGAACCGTTCAAAGTAGCACTTTCAAGAAAAGGTCTCCCTATCGTATCTAAACTGGAACTTGTGGATACACGACTTCTGGAGTACCAGCAAGCATGTTTCGGCACTATTTAGACAACTCTAAATGTGGGAACTATTATGGTTACTTTTTGTCCAAATTACAACAGGCCATTGAAGCCTTGAAGATTTGTGTTCAAACCCGCAGAGCAAAGCAGGTTACTACTACAACTAGTGTAAAGCTACACCATCAGATGGTGTATAGGCTACAGGAACATGCATTTGAATATCCAGTGCCATCTTCTTTCAAAATAGAAGATGCTATTCCACTTGATGTTAACACTAATGCTCAGCTTCATTGTACTCACATTCCTAAGCTGCCTTCACGCAATGAGCCCTTAAAGTTACTCAGAATCTTGAGTGAGAGCTTATGAGCAACAATTGTCTGCAGCACAGGATTTACAGAGTAGCATTTCTTCCTTCATTCTCAAGGACGATGGTACTGTCCAAATAAAGTTCAAAATTGATAATGATTCTTTCTAGCCTTCTGGATCGAAGCTCTTCCAAACAGAATTGAACTCCATCAAATCTGTGGTCTTTACCTTCGAACACTTAGTCATGACAAGGTTCATGCACCAATACTAAGTTCATACCGGATTTCTTATTTAGCATATTGTGTTTTATTAGGTAGTTACCTGTGTTATAGTTTCTTACTTACTAGGATGTTATTGTAAGACAATCAAGAGTTTGGAGAGAAGTTATCCATATGTCTATATGTATGAAAGTAATAAAGTAATAATCTTTTTCTCTTTTCCTATGTGGCATGCCTAATTAAAGAAAATTAATGGATCATTTGAATATTTTGATTTTATCCATTTTTGCATCTAAATATTCTCTAATCAATTTTTCTAATAGTTTCTCTCTCTCTCTCTCTTCTAAGAACTTTTATCTTTCTCAATATATTTGAATTATTCCTTTTAACTAAATTTATTAATGTTGTTTGAAACTCAATATTTGTTTATCAGAAAATGGATTCTTGCACCTCTTGTGTTTAATTAGATACTAATATATAGTTCTAGATGTATAGTCATTGTAAACATTTAATATTCGTCTCAAAGAATATCAATCAATTACCTCAATATGCTTTGTAGTATTTGATTAATATTATTACATTTTAATAAACATATATATAAAAAATTTTTAAAATTGATATAGTAGTTGAATAATGAGTATACATTAATTTTATAATTTTTTGACATTTTATTTTGAATTCTTCATGCTTTTACAAATTCACTACTAATAAAAAATAATCATACTAATGCACGAGATATAATGATAGTTAAGTTGTTATTGTGGTATGATTTTTTTCATTACTTTGAGATATTAACTTGTTAGTTTGAGTTGAGTTATTCTTATCTCCCAAATATACATATATTTCGTGTGATTTTCTAAAATTTTCATTTATATAATCATGCTCGTTAATCTTCATTAGAAATCATAAAATTGAACTTCTACATTACCCAAGTGCTTGCATCTTCAAAACCAATCTCTACATGCATCACCAAATTTGAGCACCTTACATTGCAAAATTACTTCCACAAAAGATGAACTATGTTGATAAAATTGATTTATTTGGCTTCTGAATTACATACAATGAGAGTTTGTATTTGAAAGTTTTATATCTTATTAATGAATTATTCTGGTCACCAATGTATATGTCTTTCTTTATGTTTCTTACATTCTTATGTTCGGATTACACGATATAGAACTTCTATTTAGATCAGATTTTCTTTTTATGCATGCGACAGTTACTCATGATTTTCTCAAAAAAGTCCAAAACAAAGATAAAAGGATATATTCCATGTTTGGAGTTTGGACATGAGATCAAGCAAAGGATACTGTTCAACTGCTAAAAAAGAATATTAAGTACAGAAGAATGGGAAACCAAGGGGGTTTGGAACGAACATGGGAGTGGGTGGTGGACCAAAGACAACCTGAAAAAGTGAGAAAAACAAAAGCAGCAGTATGTTATCATGATACATCATTTCTTTTTGGTTCTTACAGGGCCATTTCTTTATGCTTTAACACTTTTCAACCTTATTTGACTGCATCATGAAAGTTACTAAAGAGACAATCAGCAAATGAGCACTTGAGTTACCACATGCTCCACCTACTGGAATTTAAAAGAAAGCCTTGTGATTGGTAAAGAAAATTTTATGTTTTGTTATTATGCTGGTGCGAAAAAAGGACGATGTAAAAGTAAAGGACAAGCATTATTTTGGTTTGTGTAATCTTCTAATTAAGGACTGAAGAAAATAGAGAACATATAAAATTCTATGTTCTTTTTCTTTTACGAGTCATTTTCTTATTTGTCTGAAACTTGTTAATTTATAACATCTTATAACTTGAAAAACTCTATTCACAATAAAAAAAAAAGTAATGAAAGATAAAAAGCAAAGAAGAAAAAGAAGAAAGAAAGAAAATAAGGAGGAGAAAATCCAAAAGCACAAGATGCCTTGTTTGGAGGGGATTTTTTTTTTCTTTTGTTTGGTCTCAGAAGGAATAAAGAGGCAAAATGATGACAGGGGCTATTCAAAGAGGCATGCTATTACTTTTCGAATCCGAGAAGGGCATATACGTATGTAAGTATATACATATATTTGTATATACTGTATATGTATATATGGTGGACAAAGTGAAGATATTGTAGTTGACACCTTAAGAAATTTATTATAGTTTATTGCTTTATTATATCTCATAATTCTTGTAAGTTTGATTTTTTTGTCATATATTGTTTTTGTTCATATAGCAGTAAAATTACCTTTTGCAATATTAAAGGGTAACCTTATAGCTAATGATTGTTGTGGAGAGAATAAAAAAAGAAGAGGCCATTTCGGCAGCTTCCATTATCTGTTCTACAATTAGCACAATGGAGAGTAATTAAAGAATTTTGAAGTAGTTAGTTGAGACTGTGATAATATTTATCTACGGTAATATAACCATGCTGGCTAAAGATGCTTAAGAAACACATTCACTAGGAAGCCAAAGCAAAGCTGTCTACTTAATTATCTATTTAAATGGCACTAGACCACATAAACAATTGCTATCTCAGCATGAAAATTTTACAAAATTGATAATTTCTTGCGGAAGATGCAGATTTTTTACTTTTAAATTAGTTAAAGGCACATTTCATTTTAAGTGCCCTCTTTGGTCCTAATCAACAAGCAAAGAAACTTCAAATATTCTATCCGACTTTTGTGATTCAATCTCAAAAGCTCTATAATTTTGCCTAATTATAGCCTTATCATGATTTTTAAAAAAAATTGGGATTCTGTTAAATGCATTTGAGATGGCATCAGCTTATGTTCTATAACAACCAATCGGGAAGATTTTCTATAGAGCCAAAAAAATTAAATAAATTATTGACTGTGTTATTATTTGACTGGGATGTAATTAAAAACCCTTTAAATTAATAATTCCCTTCCTATATAGAATGAAGTACTTTATCAAGTAGCCAAAAAGCAAAAGCAGAAAAATTGCACCGGATTATACACACATTTTCATATTATCATTCATAGGCAATTTATACTTGTATAATTGGTAATAAAGTGGATGATATGAATTAACTAACCATTAGAGTTTGCTTTGGTGGTGTGGTAATAACGGCTCATTTCCTCCAGCGCAGCCACAGGCCTCATCATCAGCTGTTCAACATTTCTTTTCAAGCATGTTTTAGCCAGATTATGATCCTCCTTCATTACTGGTGGTGGTGGTTTGAGACGTTTCTTCTGATCTGATTGTACAGCTACGATAATCTTCTTAAGACTCTCCAAATCTTCATTGCATTTCTCCAGCGCCCGCAAAAGCTTTCTTCTCTTTTCTTCAGTAGTACTACTGGATGACTTTTCCTGTTCCACTTTAACGTTCCTGTTGACCTCAGATGGCTCCTCCAACCCCATCAGTCGAGCCACCAATAGGGATTTTGCAGTGGTGCTTTTCTCTGATGTGGTTAAGGCATTTGATTGTCGAATCTCCGGTGGAAGCATAGGACTTCTTGGTGTAATATCGCATGATGATGATAATCTCTTGTTTTCCAAATTTTGGCCATTTGTGTTTGAAATATTCTTGTTATCTTCTTTGAGTGCAGATGAAGAATCTTGCTGCTGCTGTTTCATCTCCTGTTCCACCATGGTTTTAGCTTCCTTTGAAGTCGATTTTACATGCTTTCTACCTGAATAGAAAAAAACAAAATGGAAAACAGAAAAAGAAAATGCTTATAAGAAATTATGCTGTTGAATGCAGAAGAGAATAAAATGAATATTAACGTTCTAACCGGAAGTAAGGCGTTTGTTTCTATTTTGATATCTGGATAAGAGCTTGAAGAAGCCGGCCATGCAACCAATTTGTTTTGCATGGCGATTTTCTGGTGGTGGGGTTTGGCGGTGAGAAGATGAAAGCAGACTGTCTTGTCTCTGCAGCATTGTTCATTAACTGTGTCGGTACAATAAGTTTGGAAGAATTTTCTGGGAAGGGCCAAAGGTAAAGAGAGTGAAGAAAGAAATAAACTTGGGCTTGTAGCTAGAAACTAGAAACTCTGACAAATGATTAAAGGACTCATAGGTCGTTTGTTATGATTTTTCCTTTCTTCGGACTGGTCCTACTTTGCACCCTAAATTTCTATTCTTAACACATTACACCCTAAACTTTCAAATCCGGTCTCATGTTAATCTAATTCTTAATCAAGAAAATTAATAGGTTCAAAAACGATTAGTCAACAAGTCAAATTAACATTGCATCTGAAATAATGAACCAGTCTAAACCCGTTCCTTGAATGGGACTGCACATAATTTGTTTAAAAGTTTTTGTAAATTTGAAAATCATTTTGTGCAATATAAAAATTGGAGTAAACATTTTGTTTTTGAGGACGCAAAAGAATTTGGTTTGAAGATGTCAAAAAAAAAAAAATTGGAGTGAACATCTTGTGCAATAAAGTTGTAGGAATATTGATAAATAGTGATGACTCATGCATACGACTTATATAGATAGAATAGCTTATATGCTCAAATTATTATCAAAATGTTAACTGGAATTAGAGTAATCAGAATCACCTGCTAGACAAAATGCTATAAAACTTATTAAATGTAAAGAGTATAAAGAGTTAACTTGTAATAAACATTTGTTTGGCGATCATGAATACAAATTTGTAATAACAGACTAACTACACATTAAGGGATCATACATACCTCAATGAAGAGACGTTATTCACTCTTGGCAAAAAAAAAGGGAAGATATTTGGTACATATTAAGAAATAATGATAATAAATAAATGAATACTTGTGACAGCCCCACCTTCCCCAAAGGCGAACCAAAGAGGTTAGCGGACTGCCTGCCCAACTCTCGCCAGGACTAACGGTGCAGTATAGAGCGATCTATCACGTTCCGGAACTTATAACGCGCGTAAACAAGGCAAAAAGGGCAAAATACCCAAAATAAAAGAAACAAAATCCGGACTCGGCCATGAATAGTAACCGACCCGTCCGAACCCAACCAAACATCGAAATACATATACAACATAACATTTAGCATTTACAAGCCAAAATGACATTTAAAAGTGATACAAAAGTCACTACATATGTGGTTTGCCAAAACAAAAGTGAAAACGGCCCTAATGATACATTTAGGATCCCATTTTATATACAATACAAAAGAGTCATTCATCTAGTTCATTCGGCAACCATTTATCAAAATTCATTCCAAAAGAGTCATAATCCTGTAAGGAAAACAAAAGGAACGGGGTGAGCTAAATGCCCAGTGAGAATACAACTCAAGCAACTAAGTTCATAGATGCATCAAGCTTAACAGTCCAATGTACCAAAAATAAGTAAAGCCACACATTAATAGTGAGGATAAAAGGATACGGGTGGCTCTCAAGAGCCCTTTTCGTCGTTTGAATTCTTGATCAGGTCTCATTGACTCTCCGTCAATGTTTGAAAAGTAACCACCCGTAGACTTCACTTAACTTCCATTCCTTCCACCTCACATTCCCCAACCGGGCCCGAAATCCAAACACATGCATTGTGGTATTACTCGAGTAAACCGGAATCAAGAGTCTCTCATACTACAAGATTCCATATAATGTTGCCCCAAGGTACATTAATTGGCACGACCAAGCCCTCGCCGGCTCGATTCAATCAATTACCAATGGGGTTGAGCTCATGGATAATATTTGAAGTCGTGGAGACTCGTCCAAACGACATCAAGTCATGTATTTCATCTCATATAACATTTCATATAACATGCGAAGCAATAAGTGAAAGTGATAAAGTACACTCTCACTTCAAGCAATTGACATTCAAAGCACCAAGTTCAAGTATCAAAGTCATATAATAACACATAAGTGAGTAGTACACTCACCACGCTTGCAAATATAGTTTCAAGCACTTTAGTCAAAAGAACGTTGGGCACCACCGTCACGCCCTAAAAACATGCAAACAAATACAATGAGACTCGATAACGAGTCATAAACCAAGGCCAAACATGACCCCAATAAGGTTCCATAAACATTTACAAACAATAGAGGAAACCAGAAATTTCGGAAATGTAACTAGCTTTGGCCCAAAAAAAAAATAGTTTTGACGTCATTTTGCGGTAAGGGCACCAATTTCACTACGCTTATCGGATGAGGGTGTAAGACCCACCATATCGAAGCTAAAAGACAGGGCTACAACATCATAGAAGGTCACTCAACCCAGTTTTGAGTGCAAACAGGTCAAAAATGCAAGATACTTCATCAACAACGTAAAACAGATTCACCAAAACGCATTCTAGTGGTAACATCACAACTCAGGCTATACATGTCCAAATCCAGAAATTCCAAAACCAAATGAAAGCTAAGAATCAGGGTTAAATTTCATCAGAAGGCCTCAACAACCAATTCGGAAGCAATCCAGACCAAAACAACCAATTACAGTCGCAAATCCCAATTTCGGGTAAAACAGAACAGCAATAGTAATTTCGATTTATCTCATTCTACACAACTCCGATTGACCTGAAATTTTGTAGACACCTATAAAATGTCATTCCCTAAAACTTTCATGTTTTGAGCTAAGGCCAATTCGGCCTCTATCTAGTACCTAAAATTTCGGACAGAATGCACCCTTAAGAACCCTAGATTTTTCAATTTTCTTCCAAAACAGAAATTGGTTGCAATTAATCACTTTTCCCACCTCCTTAAGTCATTATAGAACATTTCCAAACATCATAGATAGCCACACCATCATGCTTATATTAAAACAGAAAATTCCCCAAAATAATAAAAATTCATCATTTCAACCACAAATCAAGAATTAATCCATAAACTTGCATCTTCTACTTCCACTAAGCATGATTTGAGCATCAATTAAAGGAGGAGGGTGGTTCTTCACAACTTACCTTCAAAACAAGAGAGAGAGAACTATGGACCACCTTAATTTTCCAAATAACTTCACCAATCACCTCAAAATCACTAAGTGAAGGAGTTTTATGGAGCAATTGGAAGATTAATCGGTTGATTTGAGAGATTGAGCAAGATTGTAGACCAAAATTGTGGAGAGTTTTCTTCCTTTCTTAGAGCAAGAAAGTCGGCCAAGAGAGCTTGAAATAAGAGCTTATTTTGGTCAATTTTGATATTAATTTGGTAAAGGCATGAATAGTGGTCAAATGGCAAGACTAACTCTTATGGTGACACTTGCCACCTTTTTTTAAATGCTCAACTACCTTGTCTCCCTTATATCAATCCACTTAGCACTCTCTACTTATCTCTTAACACCTGATAAATTAATTCCAGTATTCAAAACTTAATCTAGTTGGCCGAAATTTTTCGAACTTTTCGCACTAGTGGGTCCCACGTTCGGTATCTGCTCTTAATTTCTCAAAATCCATTCGATACTAGAAAAATCATCTAAAAATTATATCTGCTCCTTAAAATTATCTAGAAAAATTTCTAATCACGAAAATGCAGAAAACAAGTCATGAAAAATATTAAAACCTAGAAAATGAAATTTACGGGTTCTCACACTCTCTCCCCCTTAAAAGAATTTCGCCCTCGAAATTTCTCACCTTAACTCACGAAAAGGTTAGGGTATTTCGTTCGCATCTCCTCTTCCACTTTCCAGGTAGCTTCCTCTACCCCATGGTTTCTCCACAGTATCTTTACCAACGGAATCTGTTTGTTTCTTAGCTCTTTGACTTTCCGGTCAAGCACTTGGACAGGTTTTTCTTCGTAAGCAAGTGATTCGTCCACGTCGATCTCTTCTGGTTGTAAGATATGGGATGGGTCGGGATAGTACTTCTTGAGCATTGAGACGTGGAAAACGTCGTGGATTCTCGAGAGACTTGACGGCAGTTCTAATCTATACGCTACCGCACCTATCCTCTGCAAGATCTTGTAAGGTCCGACAAACCTTGATTGAAGCTTCTTTCCTTTGCCTGCCATGACACTCCGTAAAGGTGTGACTTTAAGAAATACATGGTCTCCAACCTCGAACTCCAAATCTTTCCTTCTATTGTCTGCGTAGCTCTTTTGTCGGCTTTGAGCTGTTTGGAGTCGTTGCCGTATCATCTTGACCTTATCTCGAGCTTCCTCCATCCAAAGAATAGTTGTTGGATCCAGTGCCTTTCTCTCGCCAACTTCATCCCAGTAAATTGGTGATCGGCATTTTCGTCCATATAGTGCTTCATATGGAGCCATTTGAATCGACGAATGGTAGCTATTGTTGTACGCAAACTCCACCAAAGTCATGTGTTGACCCCAGTTGCCTCCAAAATCCAGAATGCAAGTTCGTAGCATGTCCTCGAGAGTTTGAATGGTTCGTTCTGATTGTCCATCCGTCTGAGGATGATAGGTTGTGCTCAAGTTGAGTTTCGTCCCTAGAGTCTCCTGGAACTTTTGCCAAAACTGAGATACGAAACGTGGATTTCGATCAGAGACGATGCTCACCGGAACACCGTGCAGCTTTACAATCTCATCCATGTACAGTTGAGCCAACTTGTCCATGGAATACTTCATGTTCACCGGTAAGAAATGAGCCGATTTGGTTAACCGGTTGACGATCACCCAAACGGCATCATGTCCTCGCTGCGTTCGTGGCAATCCTGAAACGAAATCCATGGTGATGTTCTCCCACTTCCACTCGGGTATCTCCAGGGGTTGTAACAAGCCCGATGGTTTTTGATGCTCTGCTTTCACTTGTTGACAACTGAGACATTTTTGCACGTACAGAGCGATTTCCTTCTTCATATTGTCCCACCAATAAGTTCCTTTTAGGTCTTGATACATCTTGCTACTACCCAGATGGATTGTATACTTGGATCGATGGGCTTCCTCCAGAATCTCCGTTTTCAACGATTCATCTCTCGGCACCACTATTCGATTTCGGTATTTTAAAATATCCTCAGGACCAAGATTAAAATCTGTAGTTTCCCCTTTTTCCACTTTCTCTCCCCATTTTCGTACCATCTGATCCTCCTTTTGAGCTTCTTTAATTCTCTCCAAAAGAGTAGAAGTCACTTTAATATTGCCAAAAATCACCTT